AATGTGTGTCTATGCTTTATTTAGCATTTTATTGAATTTTAGATCATTCAATAACAAGAGATATAAAAACTTTTATGCCACGGTATGAATCTTAATGGTATGCACCTAACAATGACATAGCAATAAACCAATGAGGTAGGGTGGCAGAAGAAATTCAAAACAAAATATATGACTATATAAACCACGCCTGCTCAAACTGACAATAGAGAACTGTTCATTTGCCAAATCTGAACCATATAAGATACTTGAGTATCGAGGGAATACTTACTTCACTGCTTGCTCAGTGAAATGCTTTCCGGGTTGTCTCTGCCTAAGTGTGTGCAAGTCACCTCCAGGGCAGAACTCCATCACCAGACATGAATACTTCTCTGTCTCGAAATGGGTATATAGGGTTGGAAGGAAAGGATGGTCTAAACATTGAAGTATTTCTCTCTCTGTCTGAGCACGAAGAAGTTTTTTGCGGTTAGCCAAAGATGCTTTGTCCATAACTTTCATTGCAAAATAACATTTTGTTCCGCTCAACTCTGAAAGATAGACACTTCCAATATCTCCACAGCCCAACTTCTTCAGAAGTCTGAAATGGCCCAAACCAAATACACCATCCTTTGAACGGACAGCCTGTATGGCTTCCCAATGTATGTCATTTGCCTTGTGGGGTTTGTTGATAGCGCTACTAAAGCTGCTACAAGTACTTTCGTCACTTATGTCGCTGCTTGTGCTGCCTCTACAAATACTGCTCTTCCCACTCTCAACAAAATCAGCTCGACCACTCAACTTGGCGCTTCCACTAGTCTTGGCAATACTGCTGGTCCCATCATCACTTACTTTCGCTGAAGCTGGGCTAACTCCATTTTCTGATGTTTTCTTTTTTTGATCACCGGCTTCTGGAAAATTCCTAGTCCCACTCACTACAGGATCCACATGTGGAACCTGTTTTGCATCACCCAGTGATAAAGCTGAACCTAACTGATCCGCTAAAGTTTTGGCAGACTCCTTCTGATGAGGAATCTTATAGTTCTTTTCTTCAGTGATTTCTGTGGAAACCTGATTCAGTGCATCTTGTTGAACATGCCTAGGAATTTTTTTGGGAGTGACTGGCTCCGATTTGCTCATCTTTGTAATTGGTAGAGGTGAAGGTCTGCGAAAATTTCCTTCTGTTGTTTGACTACCAATTAATTTCCTCTGAGTTTCCGGGGAAGAACTTCTGGCACCGGATTTAGAGGCCATCGACATAAATTACACTCGATATAAAAGATCGAATTGGACAAATCCATTACTCATTCCCCAACCTCACCAACTGATTCCCTCCATTGACACTCTCGATTAAATTCATCTTCAAGTCCATCAATTGCAAGTCAATTTCTACACACAAACAAAGAGTTCACCACTATGAAACAATAGATATAATACAGTGCAGGGAACACTATCCAATCCAGTCTATAGAACTATGCACATCACGCGACAACATTTCAACCCGAAAATAAAGACATCAAAATCATTACTCCATCAACACGATGCAGATTCAACTACACAACCCACAACGGCAATCACCCTTAAATTATTTCCAAATGAACAACACGAAAAGCAGTAAAATTTTTGTTACGGCAGATCAGAATTTAACATTTCATATACAATTAGCAGAAACTGTAAAAACCCACCTAGAGAACATCAAGAAATGGGCATAAACGCACAGACTTGCATGCAACCCAGAAGCATCAAGCTATAGAACAATCTAAAAAACTTTCTACCTCAAAAATGCCAATCCTTCTTCCCATGAAAGCCCAAAACTTTCTACAGAAAAAAATGCCACCGATCAAAGAGCCATGGGAGCTAAAGAAAAAACTCAACTGAATTTATGTAATTGTGTATCTATCAATACACACAAAGCCCATAATCTATAGCAAAAGATAAGAAGCAAAGTAAAGAGATTCATACAGATCTCCAACAAGATAGAGTGCAATAAAGAAGCAAAAATCAGATCTCAAACATACAGATCTCATACAGGGACCCAACACTTTGGATCCAAAATACCCAGATGCTATAAAAACAAGATAGAGTGCAATAGAGAAGCAAAAATCACCAAACAAATCACAGGACCAGTTAAAAGTGAACAGAAAAGGAAACCCAGAAAAGATAGATACCTGGGCTTGAGAGAGAGAGAGGGGGGAGGAGAGAGAGAGAGAGCCTTCCACAAAAAATCAGAACTTTGAAAGGGTTCTTTGCCTTGGTTTTGCTTTACCAGAGTGGAAAGGACAGGAACAAGGAAAATAGCACTCACAACTGTTGTGGGGGGGAGAGAGAGAGAGAGAAAGAGAGAGAGAGAGAAGGTTTCGGTGAGCTAGATTAGAAAGACTCAGAGAGAGTTGGGTCTGCGGGCTACCATAACCATCCATGTATTGAGGCTTTGAGTCTTTTGACAGAGAGAGAAATGGGGTCAAAGCCAAACTGCAAAAGTTAGGGCTTTTTTCTTTTCTTTTTTTTTGTTTGTTAATTTTTTTGTTGTTGTTAATTATTAAGTTTTTGTTGGGTAGTGTTATTTACATACAAATTTTCACTTTGTAGACCTTCTCAATTTTAGACTGTTAATCGAATGAAGTAAAAATGAATATGTGAAAACACTATCCTTTTTTGGTCTCTTAGCATTTCGTCTAGTTTTTTGTATTTTTAAATGAGATGTTTTAGGTTATATTTTTGTATAGGACGCTACAAGTTTGGTTTAGATTTATCTTTTTTGGTATAAAAAGGAATGCTAAGAAGATTTTCTCAAAAGTGAGACTGTTCATGGACTCTATACCTCACAGTTTAATATCAATTCTTATGCCACTATTATAAAATATTGTTCAAAAAAACATGAGATGACAGAAAGCTTATCGACTGAGAGTTTAGCGTACAAATATATTATTGTATTGAATTTCTTTTTTCTAATTATTAGGGTTCAATTATTTCGATGTATTTTGTCCCAAATACAAGTGTCTGAATCAATGTATGGGGCTCTCCAAGGCTCCACCCTGTCCCTCATGCTTTGGGAGTTTTGAGCTTTCCTAATTATTTAAGGCTCTGAGGATATGGGAAATGACCAAATTGACCAGGCATGTCCCCTCCTTTCTGCCACTTTAAATAAGTTGTTTTTGTAAATTTGGGTGTTGATTAATGATAGGGGCAAATGCTCCCTGAGAGTGCTAGTTGATGAGATCATGATCCAATTGGATGGTTAGGGATTGATTGTTGACATGTTGGAAATTTGGAGAGGTGGGCCATCAAGTGACCAAATTTTTATGGATAGTGCTTCTTTGTGCACATAAACAAGAGTAGTTGGATCATGAAACAAAGGTCAAGATTTAGACTCTAAATTATCAAAACAAACAGATTTAAGTTAGGTCAGTTAATTTCGGTTATTATTTGCTTTTTTCAATTAATTTTGTATTATCACGAAAGGTACTCATTTGAAAGAAAAATAGGACAATTTACCCGTTTGATCACCATTATGATTTTACATTTGTAGCGAGAGAAGGAACAATGTAAAATGTGTGAAACAAAAATTGGAAAATAAAAATAGTTTGACAATGGTTTGGAAAATGAATAAAAAAAACGATAGAAGGTTATAAGACTCGTTTGGAAGTGTTCCTTAAATGGCTGAAAACACTTTTGATGAAAATATTTCTAGAACCAATTTTTATTACAAATACAAGTGAATCCAGCTAAAACATTTTTTAAAACCCTAAATCATTTGGGAACAATTATTAGCACTCAGAAAACTAATTATACACTCCTCATAAGTGTAATTTTCTTTATAATTAGAGAAAGTTTGGAATGCAAAATGAGATTTTTTGAGTGATAATAACAATTCCCGTTTGTTTTCTCTAAAAGCGTTTATAATTATTTTAAAAATACTTCCAAACGAGACGATAGTTACATCTAAGTTTTTTGTTTTTGTTTTTTAAGGGTGCGTTTGGTACGTGGGATGGGATGGAACAGAGTGGGACGGACGTGTTCCGTCCCATGTTTGGTGCGCTAAAATTATGTGGAACGCGCGTCCCACGGAACGAAAATGGGTTAGATTTTGGTTCCCTCTCCCCCTGGAACGGGTTTTTCCATCCCGTGGGAAACAAAATTATATTCTTTTGGACAACAATACCCCTCTTATTTTTCATTAATTACATTGTCTACCTCCCTTTCTCTCCCGTAACCTCCCTCTCTTCTACCCTTGTCTCTCCCGTAGCCTTCCTATTCCTCCACCACAAACCCAGTAACCAAACTGCTAACCCAATCCCAGCAAACCCATCCGACGACGACGACGTCACCATAGCAAACCCTCTTCTTCTCCTGCGCTGTTTGGCGTCACGAACATGACCCACATCTCGTCATCTCCGTCTGTGTAAGCGAGGTGGATCTGATCCGGAACACGACCCGATTCGAAGCTAAGCTCGTCATTTGAGGTGGCGAGCAGGTGGGCGGTGCCGGGGAGGGGGTTGTGGTCTTGGTTGAGGTGGTTGGGGTCGACCTCAGACTCGTTCCAGCAGAAAATCCGGAAGGAGTAGTTGAATTGGAGATTGACCAGAGGGAAGGAAATGGAGCCCGACTTAGATTTCCATGTGGGGCGGAGGAGAGGAACTTATAATCTATAAAGTTGTCGTGGTGGGAGGAAGAGGGCAAATAGATGCCGAGCCAGTTGAGTTGGGAGGGCGAGTCGATGCCGGACCATTGGATTAGGACTGAGTCGCCCGATTTGGAGAGGGAGGTTGGGGAGAGAGAGAGTGAAACAGTTTGGTGGGTCGGAGGGAAGAAGGTGTACAAACAAGGCTAAGTTAGTCATTTAACACGAAATCCGAACCGTTCCGTCCTATGCATACCAAACATAACACGAACCTCCATTTCGTTCCGTCCCGTCTGCGTACCAAACGGTACCTAAGCTTTCCCACTCCCATCTCCAACTAGAACCCCCAAAAACCGAGTCAAGAGTACAACAATCCAGCAAACCAAACAGACCCCTTCCTTATAAACCTCATTTTTTCACTTTTCAGGCTTAGGGTTAGGGTTTTACCAGACGGAGATTCTGGAAATGGAGCCTGAGAGAAAGCTATCGGCGGAGGCTGGCTCCGTATTCCAGGAAGGCATAGGATTGGTTCTGTCTCGGTGGTCAGCGCTCCAATTGGCCGTCGAGAACGAGTGGGGCGGTCGTGACTCGCGCCGCAAAGCGGAGCAACTCGTCGCCGATATCTTCTCCTGGTTCAATCACTCCACAGGTACCTGATTCCCCCAGCTTCTCTAGCTCGACTCATTCAATTTTCCATTTTTGTGTAAAAAGTTGAGCTTCAATTTTGATTTGCTGCTTATTTTTTTATGGAATTATTATATAGTTATTGGGTTTTTGTAATATCTTGTGATGCATTGTGTTTCTGAGATTGGAATTAGGATTCAATTGGGAATTTATATGTGAAAGTAAGAATCTTTATCACAAGAGATTTCAATTTGTTGCCGAAATCTTCTATTTGCTTAACAAATTTTCTGTGTTTTAATCCAATTTTGGTGAGGATTGATTGGTTTTATAAATAATTTGCTATTATTAGTAGGAATATGATACAATGCATTAAGTGAAATTGGTAATTAAGTAAAACCTAAATGGTAATTATGTTCAAATTAGCAAATTTTCTACATACCGAACTTTATATGGAACTGCTAATTTTTTTTCTTGAGTTCTTGAATGAAATTTTTTGTCGATTCTAGCCGAGTAGGATGGATTCTGACAACCATGTGTTGATTCTCCTCAGAGCCTCTTTACATAGATGATTTGGAAGATATGCTGAATGAAGCTATGCTTTCTCTCAACACTATGACAGAGGATGGCAGCATCGAGGAGGTATGCGTTTGCTCCTCAACTTCGTCTCCTCGGAGAACACTTAATAGTATCTTAATGGATGAAAATGGAGAAGATTTAATATGCTTCTGGTGGGAAACTCAGAAGTAATATGTTTTACTCAATAGACTGCGTGACTTTGAACGGGCCAAGTTTTGTAATGTGCGAGTTCCAGACCACCAGCCCTTGTTTGACTATTCGACTTCTAGAAACTCAAAACCATTTAGTATCATAAGGATTCGACGTAATCATGGAGTGCCGGCTGTCGACTACCTGACGCCCTCCCATTCCTCCTTTATCCTGGCTTGGGACCGGCATCATAAGATAAACCATTTAGCATCAACTACATTAAAGTTGGCAGCTAAGAATCAGCTGCATCTCCAGCCATCGTAGATATTATGCTCACATGTTTCATTCGACAGACAATTTATGGATGATTTCATTTCATGTGTTCATTATTGTTTCTCTAATGTGGGGACACAACCTTTAGTTTTCATAACGGTTTCCATCGTTATAATGTTTGCGTTTTTTTGTCCACAGGTAGCTGAAAAGTTAATGATTATGCATGAAGAGTGTTTAAATTGTAATTTCAAGTCGATTGAAAGCCTAAGGGAAGCCAATCAGCGAAGAGTTGCTCTTCCGCATGTTAGAGAGGTAACGTTTAAACCTCTCACCCTTTAAAGTTTTTACTAATTAACAAAATAAACTTCTCTTATGTCTGGTGACAAAGTGCTTTTCTCCGAATTTTTGTATGTTGAAAAGAACTTGTGGAAGTTATCTTGAAAGTTTTCCTCTAAAGCCGTGAGTGGCGGAGTGCGGATGATACGTTGAAATGTATGCCTTGCTAATAATATCTCTTAATTCTCTTTGTCACTCATGCCAGGTTGCAAATGATGATGACGAGGATAGTGACGAAGACAATGATAATATAGCTCATAGCATGGGAAATGATGACTCCTCAAACATGATGGTAGACATACCGGAGGCTCATTTGAACTTAAATCCCGTAGACGTCTCCAGCAATGAGTCAAAGCCCAAGCCGTCGGCTGAAGCAGAAGATGGATGGGAGGTAGTTGGACCTAGAAAACATAGGGGTAAAAGGAATTAGCTTGAACCCCCAAGTGTATGCAGTTCCCCTATGTGCTAGTCGTTTTGCTCAACAATTTTGTCATCTAATTCTCTCTGAACTAGGGTGAATATATGTATAATCTGGATAATATACAAGTCTTCTATATAATTTCTCAGCATTAACCATTAATCTATAGATAATTGCTTCATTTATACGACATACGGCCCAACTATAGTACATTTCGAGCATATACAATCCCGTAATCTTACAATATACGGTCCAACTATTGTACATTCCGCTCATACAAACTCTACCGTTTGCATTGATCATGCTCCGAATGGGGGCAAGGGAGGTGTGGGTTAGGCCAATCAACTAAGGCAGTGTACACCGAATCCCATTTCTCGTGATTAAGAATAGTTTGGAATATCGCTTTGTCATAAAAGGAGGTGCGGGAAGTTTGAGCTTCACACAAAAGAAACAACAATAATTGGAAAGGCATTTGGTCATTGGTACTGGATGATGGAACCAAAAAGTGAAGACACAAGGAACAACTAATTAATGCCAACAGTTTGAAAGATGGAACAAAGATTGGCTTCTCGTGCTCTCCAACAGAAAACTGTCTGGCATTGTCTTACCAAACATAATACCCAACAGGCAACAACTAATATCTCCAATAAAGATTTGATGCTTCACCTCTTTCACAAACGCGGAGTAGAGATCCTCTCTGATCTTTGTATTCAGAGCCCAAGGATCCGGAGATGCACTTAGTTTGTGTGAGATGAGCCAACAGAATGAACTAATGAGAATCACATGATTTAAAAGGAGTGGTCCGGATCTCTAGGTCCGTCGGCTCCGGACATAGAGATCTAGAGAGTATCTCAATTCTACGGAGTACAAACATGTCCACTAATTGCTACAATCATCCTTCCCACAAACTTCTCCTGTAAGATAACTCCTCTTCGTGAAATCAGAATTCGACATTGTGTGCAAACAGTTTTCGTAATGTTTTTGTTTGTGTCGGACAATGGTTTGCGGCTAAGGAGGAATAGATCTTTACATGTAAGAACCCCGCTCAAAGAGAAAAATATAAGAACAAGTCGCACGGTCATGGGCGGCCATATGTAATTGAATTCTAGCCTCTTGACCGAATAAAACAAAGGAGAATCAAGAGACAGAAATAAACAAAAGTGCGCAGAAGTAGAAAAATAGTGTGAAAAATTTCCCGCAGCCATAGAATACTACGGGGAAGGACAGAGCTACTTAAGAATATACTTTGCACGGGCAAACCAAAACTTACAAAAGAAGAAGAAAACAGCTGATCATCTTACTGCAAATTAAGAATTGCACTTCACATATCGGGGTGTGGATTTGCGATCTAAACATACAGGATATCAAATATTTTTACTGTTCTTTCTAGCTTCATTTTCTTTCTACACAAATACCAGAGCATCATGAAAGATCAGAAATAACACGATCGCACTTGTCTTCCAAAATCTTCACAGCTTCAGTAAATAGCACTTCAGGAGGTAATACACCGGTTGATTCAATTTTGACTGTGTGCACGAGAGCGAGTGAGACAGTTAGAACTCTGAAAATCATTGATGGAAACAAATTGTGCTATATTGAAACTTCTTCCTATATGAACCCAACTTCACTCTTATTACATGATGTAAGCATATATATTAAAGAAGTCTAGTGAGCTCGTATCTGACAATGATCCAAAGTTCCAACTTCTACAGGCTCTCGAGTAAGTGATTATTACAAACCAAAGAGTTGAAACTGAATTCTTATAGATACGTGCCATGAGGACTAAAGCTACAATTCTAGGACATTGTGAACAACGAGAAAGCAAAATGAATTTATAATTCCAACTTTGAACACAGAGAAATTACTTACAAATGAAATGATCCTTCTTACGCTGCAGAGCAATAGAATTCTCCCAACCCTTCCCTTCTCTGATGCACTCCCTGCACAGTGTGCAAGCTCGTGGTCTGGCTACAGTAGCCCTTTTTTTACCTGCTAACCGGTCAAATCATCAAATCAAGCCACTCCAAAAAATGACAAAAACAAGGCAAAGAAATTGTATTTCAAAGCATGCCAATATAACAAGAGTTTTTATAATCCAAATACCGGGACAAACCCACAAAATTGTATCATTTTTGGAATAAATTTTGCTACCGGTCTAGTATCTAGAACAGTGAGAATAAATGCCACAAAAGGGTAAAATCACTAACCATTGCCAATATCTTCAATATCAAATACTTTAACCGGGCATGTTGCCACAAGTTTCTCAGCCATCTCATCTTCAATATCTTGCGATATTATAACCTAATAAGAAATCAAAATCTTTAAGATTACTTTGACATAATCTTCAGAGTCTTTTCAAAATCACTAAAACAACTCCTTACCTCAGGAAGCATCCTATACCAAACAGGGGCAACTGGAGACCATTTAGCATGTGTTTTACCAATACCCTTAACAGCATGTGCTTCCAGATCAATTTCCTAAAAAGTGGTAAATTTAACATCACTTAAAAAGTAAATTTACAAGAACAGTAAACATTACTGACTACTAGATAGAATAAATACTGAATCGATAAGATAGTAGTTGGCTACAATGCTGCATAATGAAACAATATATGAAGTCGATTGCTCCACATATCAAATTTTAGGCCTGTGCTTAAGTTGCAGAGTGAAAAGTGCTGTATATGATTTCTGAGCAATGATCACAACAATACATAACAAGAAACATGTTTACCTGACCAGGGCCTAGTCTAGCAATTGTAATGTCTCCACTCGTGGGGTAAATTGGATTGTCGGAAAATTCTGGCAAGGAATCCTGACTGCAAGTAAATGATGTATATGTTTTTGGTTTTGAGGATGACTCTGACTTGGTATCTTGCGATTCCAAAGGATACTCACTCCCATTTGGCAACCAAATCAATTCTTTTGACTTTACTGCATAAAATGTTGCAAAGTCATCACAACAAGAAAATTCCCACCAATAGTCTTGGAGAAATATAGGTCTATAAAACTTACAGATAGTCTGAAAAACAAAACAAAACACAGAACTATACCTGAAATACGCTGCCCCCCTCGTTCACAGCGAACATGGAGCTTAAAAACGATGGTGTTCTTTTCATTTGGTGTATTATTTTCTACAAAGTAAAATATGACAGGAAAGAACTCAGTAGAGGAAATAAACAAATACAAATTTATTTTATATAAAATAATGGAAATATCAAACCATATTACCTGTAAATTCAAATAATCTAGGGTCAACCTTGATCGGAATGAGACCCAACCTGTGAGCAAGTACTTCATCTTGGATTACTGATGTATTGTTTGCAATAAGAACTTTTTCAATAGCCATTGTGGGAACCTGCGCTTGTATAATACAACAAGTTTAGATCGCTGTTAGTAACATATACTGCCAACTGAATAGCAATTCTCATAACACTTCCATGTATATCATATCAGTGAGAAAAAATATCGACTAGCATACAAATTTCTATTACAAAAAGTAGATACAAACTTCCATGCATAAAACACCTGGCCTTAATTCAAGGAAATAAGAGAATCAGACACAAACTCATATGAGATGGTTTAAGTAAACATGAGAAACTAACCATGAAGTCACTCAAGCTGTATACTGAATACAAGTTTTTTTTTTAACTTTTTAACTTTTTTATTATATATATATATATATATATGCCATGCATGATGCTTAAACAAGAATCACTATGTCACTGAGTGATACAGCTAGAAGATGATACATAAGCCCATGAAAACGGAATATGAACACAGAACTAGTATATGAACTCAAAACAATATTAACCACGGACGAAGCATAATTTAATCATGCATACTCAAGTACTCATGAATTTAATCAAACCTCAGCTATAAGGATTCTCCGGAATGCATTGGCAAGTGCTGGATCAATGCCGATCATATCAAACTCCATCTCATCCTCCGTAAGATTAATAACTTCAACTTTAAAGTTGTCACAGAAGCTATCCACTACGTTATTATCGACTCCCATTGATGCATAAGCACCATTATACTGAAAAGTATCAGTCTGTAAACACCAAAACTTCAAACTGTAAGAAATAAGAAAAACAAGAAAAATTCATCGATGCCTTTCCTCGCTGTATGGGAAAAATGAAACAGACGACTCATAACTAATATCGCCGAATGCAGGTTTATGCCACTTTGGCAGATTGCTTGCTTCGGTTTAACCACTTCCACATAATCTTTTCAAATAAACAATCTTGGTCCAAAGAAAAATTATTTTCTCCATTGAAAAATTTACCTCTATGCATGAACGCGGATCAAGCTTATGTGTTCAGGTAACCCAATTAGAAAAAAAAAAACTCCAGTAAGTATAAAGAAATTCACTTTCCCACATTTTCTTAGCAACCAAACATGACCATCAACAAAAACCAACAACCAAAAGAACCCAAATTTCTACTCAAAAGGGTCAAAATTTCTCAAACTAGAAGCAAAAAATTCCAAAATCGATATGTCAGAAACAAAAACATGGGGAAATGTAGATTTCATAAAACAAAAATTGAAAAATGAAAAAAATTGGGTGAAAAATTCTGTACATGAATGGGAGCATCGGCCTTGCACTCGACACGTGTCCTCTGGAATTCAATGTTTGGGGGCAGCCGCCCCATTGGCACATCTGAGAGCTTCTCTATGAAGTCCAGCGTGGAGTTGGCCTTCGCAGAGTCCGATGCTTCAGACTCTGAACCCGACGTCGTATCTTCGGTATCGGACGACATCGTTTCTTCCTTCACTGCTTCACCGGCCACCCTCAATCTCTCTCTCTCTCTCTCTCTTCGTTCTCAGCGATCGAATTTAAAGTTAGGGTTTTTGGGGGTTTAGTAAGTGAGAGTGACAGTAGGGAAAATTTGGGGTTCAGGGTTTTGCAGAGAGAGAGAGACGATGTGAATGGGCCTTTCATAATTACCAAGGGCTGGCCTTGTGTTTGAGGCATGTATAATAAGGCCTCGTTGGCAAACAAGGCGGTGAGGACTTACATGAAATGAGAACAGCGTCTCAAACTAATCTTGTAGTATTGAGTTAAAACAAGTAGCAACGCTTAAGTCACTTAGTATTACAGTCTAGAGGTATTACAGTCCAAATGCGAATTTAAACTACATTATTGCTAGCCCATTGTAAGGCTTAGCCCACCCCATTTCCT